TAAATAAAATTCTTCAAAGAATCAACTATATGTATTTACAAATAAAAGTAATGATGTTTTACATCAAATTTAAAAGATTTATTTTTTTGATTGTGAGTTGCAGCATAATTTAAAAATAATTATAATCAAACCGATAAAATAATGTCAAAGTATTTTAGGGTAGTGAAAACAATTGTTATTTTTATTCGTTTTTTAAAGTCGTGGTACCGCATATCATTTACAATAGTATATGTTGTCGTTTAAATTAGACAGTTTTTTACTTACAACATTATCGACACTAATGTATGCAAACTAAAACAATTCCTTTTGAATTGGTCTTTTTTCATGTTACACGTTAAATAACGTCACACCAAAAATAGATATCTGCATTATTTTTGTAACATTCTTTATTTAACACCTTAGGCGCAATGTATGTTAGTGTACCAATTATTTAAATGAATATAATGTAAGTCATCAATAAACTTACATTTCTGGCACTTTCAAATTCAGTCAAATTTTTGGCTATTACATTAATTAATTAATTAAAAATTATCAAATACTTGAAAGTGTTGTTTGACTAAATGTCCATGTGTAATTTATACTACTAATTTAGTGTTGTTCATTTTTAGTTGGTTTTATTTTTTGTTTTTTAATATTCATAAGACTAATTTAGACTAAAGAAGGTGTATTTAACATCCTATGCATGTATTTGAAGTTGGTAAAACTCGATTAATTTTGGTTTAAGATATTATTGATTGTTTATCACTTATGGTTATTTTTTCAAAAACAATCAAGATAAGGTTGTTTCAGCAAATTGAATTTAATATAGTTGGCTGAAATAAATAAACAAATAAAATAAAACTACATGTACTACTAATGTCTGGTGGTTTCTTTTATTAAAATATTGGTTTTAAATTCACCAAAAATTACAGAATCAAAAACAAAAAGATTAATTGACATACATCAAAATTATTAATCAGTTGTGCGACAAATAAACAAGTTCGACAAGTAAGAATACAACAAATTCACCTTAGACTCTAATACTATTCATAACTATCAAAATGAATAAATCGGTTTTAAACTTCTTTTAAATAAAGTAAAACCTTCATTAGTAGATTAAACAAAAAAAATTGAACCCATCAATAGTGGTTATGAAATTATTTCTTTTTTCCCTTAAATATGTGTTTTTAATTTTGATTAGTTGAAACATCTCTTAATAAGGGATTTATTAATGATAGGTTTTACTGAAATAAAAACAATAAAAATAAATAATATTAAAAAATAAAGATTTTAACCTTATACCAATAATATAAATTATAATACATTTGAAATGTCATACATTTGAACAACGCTAATTTTTAATTTTATTATTTTTAAAAACAATTAAAAAAACAATGAGACATACGCAAATAAAACATCTAAAATTTAAAATAAATGCTTTCAAAATATTATAAAATATATTAATTATCTTAAACATATTGTATATTTATTTAATATTTTAATAATAATTTGTATCTTAAAGTTTAACCTTCATTTTTTGTTTGAAATAAACTTAAACAATTACAAAAACTATTATTATTTATGAAATAAATTAAAAAACATTATAGATATACCACATGATTCAAACGAATGTGACAAAATATATACTTGAATTTATCAAAGATAATCACGATAACAAAAACTCTGTTTATTGTTTTTACACAAAACAATTTGTTTTGAATTAAAAATGTATATAAAATTTAATTAGTTTTACCAACCAAATGTTATTGAAATGGTATTATATAATATACTTGTTATTTTAACAATTCACATATACAATTATATATATTGTTTGCATTAAAGTTATAATTTATAATAAATTGTTATCATGTTAACCACATAAACCCAAGTAGATAAATTAAATCAAATGATTAATTTATAAAAAATATTAGAAACAATAAAAATAACCAAAAAATATCTTTTGGAAATTATTACTTTATTAATATTTCATTCTCTTTTTATAATTTATTAAAAATAAGAATGAAATAATAATAATAAAATTTTATAATGTTATTAAACATTATAAATTTTTTTAAAAATAGAGTAGCAAAATTAATTCAAAAATCTATTTTGTTTTAAATCAAAATTTTAAACAATATTATGGTTAAATTATTGTTAATGATACCAAAATTTTATTATTATATTTTATCAATTTATTGACAAAAACCTATATAAACCGTGGATTTTAAAATCGTTTTGTTTGAACATTTTAATTACGTATTTTTTTGTACTTCTTTCTTTTAAATAAGTTGTTATTTTTCCTCTTCACCTTAAAAAAGTACAAAAAGAATATTACCAAATTATTTTAAGAAAAATTATAGTAAATTATAAATTAAACATATTTTGTTTTTCATAATATATATCATATTATTATTAATAAATATTTTTTTTAATATTATTGTTTGGTACTTATTTATAAATTATTCGGATTGTAATCAAAGTCTGATAATAAAAATAGTTCAAAAATACTAAAATAATAACTATTTTATATGGTTTATTTAAAACTGGTAATGTTTTTTTAACGAAAAACAATGTTTATTATTTTATATAAAAATGTAATAATGTTTATTTTTATATTTTTAAATTAACTTTGTGTTTTTAAACAATCAAATAAAATATTTTTTTTGTCAAAAAAATAAATAGTCAATTACAATTATCTCATCAAATAACAAAAATACAATTATGATTTTTACCAATAAATATGTTAAATTTAATAATCCAATAAACGATATAACTCAAAAGAGACTCAAAACAAATAAAAATGAGATATAAAAGGAAATCTTAAATAACACATATAACAGAGCACATTAATTGAAAACAACACTCTGGGTGGTTTATAGAAGCGTTTTAAGCTCCTCCACAATGAGGTAAATGAAATACAATTGAAATTTAGTTACACTCTGCCTGTTTTTAAACATAGCCAAGGAGTCCACTAAATTGAAAAATGGAAGGTAAACATTGTTAAGCAAAAACGAAGGACATGTGTAAGAGTGAAAAGACAATGTAAAAATTGATAAATGGACAAATTATTTCCAAAACCATAACTCAAAAGGAAGAGATTGTATTTTTCTTTAATTGTGAACAAGGAATTGGACACATGAAATTCTGGGTACTGGAGATTGGCAAAAAAAATATTGACAAACAGCGGGATGTATGAGAAATTGTGCAATAAGGAATATCTGGAAAAAGTTCGAAGCGCCTAATAGAAACACTACTAGAATCCGTTCTGAGTAAATGATTTGTTTGTTTGAACAAAAGGAAGAGAAAAAAGAAAAAACAATTATTAAACAAGAACAAAGGACGATACAAATAGCAGGCATACTTTAAGAAATGCTAGAATCAAACTGTTGTGACCCGAAAGGTGGTGGGCTATGTTTAAGCTTTTGGGGCCGAAAGAAACTGTTTTTGAAACTTATCCGTGTATCAACTACTCGCTATAAATTAAAAAGTGGAGAAAAACTTTTTGAAACTAAAGTGGCTGATATCAATAATTAATATATTATCATTTATATCTTATTAACTTGTTTACATTTTTCTTTGATAAAGTTGATGTTTTTTTGTGCGTTTTTAAAGATTTCTAATAATGATTCTATTCTGGGTTTTAATTTTGTTTATAGAACAATTGAAGCAAATCGATGTTATGGTAATTAATTGACATATTTCAAGTTTTGTTTCTGTTATTCTTTTATGTTTGTATTTTTGTTATACAAATGTTATTAATCCCGTAAAATTAAGTATTTTTCACCCATCTTTTTTGGGAAAATAAATCAATTTTGGATTTATTTATATTTTAACTAAATTTTTTCAGAATTTTAATTATATTATTAATTTGTTGTTTTGATTAATATATATTTTTATTTTTTATCCTATTTGTGTTTTTTTGTTATATTTTTGTAACTATTAAAAATAGTATATATATTATAAATTTATTAATTTTTACTGAATGTTATTTTATTTATTGAAAATAATTGTATTATTTTTTAATTTAAAAATATTATAAAATTTAATACATAATTAAATTATGTAAATTAATTGTACCAATATTTATAATATATATAATTATAAATTATAATACACAATTATAATGACTGTATATTAATTTTAGTTATATTTAATTATAAGTATAGTTAATAAATAATTAATAAATTGGTCAATTTAGCTTTTTTTATTGCTAAATTTCGGGAAGAACTTGTCTTTCTGAAAATTTTGCCTTTTTTATGTGGGTATTTTTCCTGTTTTTTTACATTTAATGAAATCAATATAAT